CTCTCTCCCCACCCCCCAACTGTGTCTGACTTGCCTGACAGGAAATTTTCTAATTGCCGGAACAGCTGGCCACAGCAAAAACGCCAGGGTTGGTCTTCCCTGCTAGACTTATGATCGCTCAGTCAGAAAATCCAAACATCATGGTTTCTTAGTCATGTTTAAGTTTCTGGCTCTACGTGTTCGTTCTATTCGGGTGAGCTTAGTTTCTTATTTAAAAGAATAAGGAGAAAAAGGGAAAATTTTATTTTAATTAAACTTCTATTTCAAAGCAATTTTAGTCTTTTGCTGCTTTGGGATCAATGCCGTCTGTATACAAAGCCTTTTGTATTTTCTTTCCGGGGAAAAAAAAAAAAGTTTGTGGTGTGCTCATATTTTGTAGAAGTTTCTAAGGTACCTGTTGACAATTTTGCCTTATTGGGAAATTTTTACCTGTATGAAAATACTGTAAAACTTACTTTTTTTCCTCCAGAAATGTATGAGCTTAGCCATATGTTAAGTTTTCTCACTGAGAGTCTAGTTTTATTAAAAATGTTTGCATTTTTAAAATTAATACTTAGTGGTTGTTTTAATAGTTACATTTTCATGTAGTACTTTAAAGTGTAAAAGATGGTTATGTGTGGAGTGACAGTTAAAATAACTCAGGCTTATTAATATCTTAAACTTCTGAAAATGATATTAAGAATAGTGATGCTTGCTTACGTTACAGTTAATGTTATGGTTATTTCAACTTTTAAATGATAATTTAGTCATAGCAGATATTTAATTTGTACAGTTTGTCTTGTTGATGAGCATATATTTAAACATAAAAGTTTTTTTTAAGTTGAGGAAAATCTCTAGTGGAGAACTGTATTATCCCAAGCACTGTTTCTGAACTATTTAACAATACATGTAAACATGCAATGTGATAGAGCATTTTATCGTTGAAACTCAAATCACTTTTAATGTTTCTCCTCCTGTAAGTCTGCAAATGCTTTTCGGGGCGGGGGGGTGGGGACGGGACGGACACCACACAACCAACCAAACAAAAACCAAACCTTCTTGTGTACTGTCTTAACATCTTAAGTGAAGCAGGTCTACTAAGTTGTAAGTAAAAGGGATAGTAATTTAACACCTACTAGCCTAGGTACTGGTTTAAACTTTGCAATATGCATTAGAAAATGAAATTGAATTTGCTTGCAATAACTGAAACACTAAAACAAGACATGCATGTAAAACAATAGAATATAGGCTGCATTCTATACAGGTTTTTGTAATGTAAACCTTGTAAAATCAACATTTATCAACTCGTAGTCCTGAATTATAGTTCTTTTCCACAGGCAACATGAAAGGTCTATTCCTTAGAAGTCTCTGATCAAAAAAAAGTGACATTTTATCTACTTAACGGCAGCTTGATTATATTGTCTTTAACATTCTGTTGATTTTAAAATGCTAGACAGTGCAGCCCATGTAAATTTTGGAGAATATTTAGGCTATTATCTCAATAAAACAGGAATCATAGCTTTCATAGATTAGTGCTGCATATGCTTGTGGATTTTTTTTTTTTTTAAACTTTGAATTATCTTTTTTAATTGCGATGCTCTGAAATGTTAGTGCTTACAAAGTAGGAACAAAACCTACATCAAAGTTACTGGGAAATGAAAGTTCCACCCAATTAATATTTTTTCCAATGCTGACACGCACAGTCTCGTTCATGAGATAATTTCATGGTGTTTGATCAAAAGAGAATTGCATTACAAAACTGCTTTTTGTGACCAACACTGAGCTTTTACAGGAATCCCTCAGCTTTACCTGCTAAACAACCTACTGCTCCCAGTTCCTTTGGGAAGGAAGGAGTAGAGTCCTAGTTCTGTCCTGGCCTTTGTGTTTTCATTCTGAGGAGGGAAAGCATCTTCAGAATTACCCTCCCAGCCTGGCCAGTCATGTTTATCCCAAGGGCCTCACCTACCCTTTGACTTGTTGCTCTGGGACAGGACTCATTCTGCAAACTCCTATCTTGCTTCATCTGTAACACTGAAAGAATGGGAGGAGCTCAGTCTCAGTAACCAGGTCTGCAGTCTTCGTTATGTGAGTTGGCTACCTGGAACAAATGTGGACGTAGACGTCCTTCTAGATCTCAAAACTGTTGTAGTAGAAAGCCAGGAGTGGAAAAGAGTAGAATGTATAGAGAGTAAAGAATAAATACATAAATACAGTGATTTTTTTTCATCATCTCTATACATTGGTTCTCTCTTAGACAGACACTTAACAATTCAAGAATTTAAAAAAAACAAACCTGAAACTAAACATTTGTAAATAGAGTTTGCTTTTAGGGAATCTTATTTTCTGTCAGGTAAAACAATAGATGCCATTTGTAACAAGTAATTTGATGTCAGTTGAAAGTGTAAGTTCTTCCATCTTTTAAAAAGAAGCAAAAGCATAAATTGTGAAAAGCCTGTATTTGACACCAAATGTCCACATTAATTAGAACTTACTTCTGCTCTATCCTTGCTTTTCTTTGATACTAGTGTAAAACAGACAACATAGAATATCCTTAAAACAGCTTGACTTAATTTTATGCATGGTGGTGCTTTGCTTTTTGTTGTATTAGAATAATTACTACTTCAAAAGCAGCATTTTTAATCAGCTTTTGAGAACAATTGTTTGTGTACAAGCATTTAAGTAACCATTAGTTCTATTAAATGGTTCAAATTGAGTATTAGTCGCAAATAAAAGGAATGGGTTTTATTCCATGGTTTAGCTCACTAACATTACTTAGTGAAGTAGTGGGAGATTGTGACGTGTTTCTTGGACATTGAATTTTTTTTTTTAAAGGCAGTTTTGAATTTGAAGTAGGAGTATAATGAGTATAGAATGTATGAACATATACAGAAGGTGTTTGAGATGTTTTAAAAATACTTTGACTGTTGCACTCCTCACATTTTTAACTCCTGTTGTTAACCTAATAAAAAATTCCATAAGCCCTAATACAAAAGGTAAAAGTAATTGGTTTTCAGTTTGTTGGCTCTTTTTACTTCAAAAAGCATAGCTCATATGGGTTTTATTTCTTCAGGTAGTACTGAAAATTCATCCTACATTCATAACAAGTTGGGAAAGTAAAAATGCATCTAGGAGACTTCCTGACTCAAGGGAGGGGAGGAAAAGGAAATTATGTATATGAGCTGGGGAACTGTGCCAACATTGAGTCATCCTTTTAAAATCACTTGATATCAAATAAGCTTACTGTCCTCACAGGACATAACTGCTTTATGTAACTTCAGCATCAAGGCTTAATACCATAGTCAGTATTTCAGAAATGGTTTTTGTTTGATTACAGGAATTAACATTATTCTGCCTGTGGCAGAAAAATATTTTGCCAAATACAGCAATGTCCAGCTGAGCTCTGATAAGTACAATGAAGGCTAACAAAGTAGTCAAAGGAAACTTGCAACTGTGGTTGGAGCAATGTTAAGTAACTTGCTGGGGAATCCATTTTTCTGTTCTCAGCCTTACCTTCACTTGTAGTGAATGTACATGTGCCTCAAGAACATGCATTTGTCTGGAGGAACTGAAACATTCCTGAAAAAGAGATTGAGAGGGGTGAAAACAAAACTGCTACTTCCGTAACGAAAATGGAAAAACCTATGTAGCTACATGCCTAATACTAACAAATGAAAACTGATAAAAGCAGTATTTTTGCCGCTGCTCAGCTTTCAAGTGGAAAAGAAGATTGCAATTAGCTCTTTATTCATTGGATTTGCTTTTCTGAAAATTGTATCGTCGATAGTATAAACTGATACGGTTTGTAGATACAATAGTATAAACTGATAGTTTATCGGGTAAGTTAAATTCAGTAAGTGCAGCTGAACAGGGAAGTGCAGGGAAGTACACCATGAACTGTCCTTTACACTGATAGAAATTATATTACCTGTCTTACAGGAAAAGGGTTGCACTTTAATACTGTTGAAATATTTGTATCTTTATTTCAGAAACTTAATTCTAAAATTTATTTTAGGGCTGTCACCTTATCTTGAAAGATGGCTAATGTTTGAGGGGGGTGTTCAGCGATACTGGCAATAAAGATCTGACTTAGCTGTTGCGACTAAAACTAGCAGAAAGATTTGCCACAGCCACCCCCCCCACCCCCCCTCACTCCCGGTTCCTGACTGTATAGAAGGTGAACTTCCAGAATTGTGACCTTTCCTGATGGTGATTCGGGCTGTTTCTCATGCATAAATTAGCATTATAGAAAATAAATATCTAAACCAGATTTGAATCCATTTTAAAATGTTATTTTAAGTGGAAAATATTCGTGAAACAGTTCCTGGAAGAGTTTCTGGTGGGAATCCACCAGCATTTCTTCATGTATTAATAGTGTCCGTTTAGAAGGACTGTTAAAAATACCAATATTGGCACAGTCAAATGCTAACTTGTGTATTAGGAACAAAGACTCTTGCACAATTCGGGGGAGTGACTTGACTTTGGCAGGCGGTGACTCTGGAGGGACTAGCGATACCACTGAACGCGCAGCTGAACACAGCCTCATGGTCGGTGCCTTGGCAACTGCGGTCTCGGCAGGTCAAGGCAGGAAGGTTGTGGCTAGGAGTAGTATGGGGCTATCGCTCTGCGTGCAGCATAAAATCAGCCCGTTGTTACTGTGTCTAGCAGGGATGCAAGGGCTGCCAGAATAACATTAAAAAGTCAAGTATTAAAATAAAAAATGATTCAGAGAAGACCTTACGAGACCAGGAGCTGGAAGGTCACTTTACAGCGGAAAAATCTGAACAAGCTTACTTATCATAAGGGGCAAATTAAGTCATAACGAAGTCTGTAAGTAACTATACGTTGAAGATGTTTCTGAAGATGTTACCTCCTTAACTCTTTTAAGAGCAGTACAGAATTAACAGATAAAGGTGAAATCTGGGTAATGTTGGAACCAGGAATATCAGTATTTAAGTTAATTTCTCCAGTAGTTACTTAACCTAGTTTAGATACTAGAACAGATTCTAATTATTCATTGAGATTAACATTTGTTAATCTGTTTATCTAATGTTTGCCTGAAGTCAAAGTCTTAACCCCATTTTTACAGTTTTTGGTCAGCATGTCAACAATGTTTGCTGAATGTCAACAGTGTTTTTCTGAATACAGGACCCGTCTAAGGATTTTTTGCATATGCCAGATTTCCCTTCCACCGGGTTTTGATGAACTCGAGTATGT